TTTTGAAATTTTTTTCTGAACATATATGCGGTAAATGTTAACAATACTGTAATATTGTTTATGATAAACTATTTGGCATGCCTCCATACCTTTGACTACAACATGTATATTCACAGATCCAAGCATGAAGGTTCTCGTCATCCTTGCAGTCGTTGTTGTCGTTGCTTCCGCCAGAACCCTAACCAGGGCCAAGAGGTCAAACAAGAATCATGATAACAATGTCATGAACGCCGCTAAATCAATCATCGCCTCTGCAAACGACGTGGCCGGGGATAAGCAGAACAACAAGGACAAGAGAGATTATGAATATTACTACGCCAAATACAACTACGATAACTACGGATTGTACGCAGTTGGTGCTGTGGTTGACTATGGATACGTGAGTAACTTATTTCTGCTTTTAATATACACTGTCATAAACTATAGTTTGACAATGTATGAAGACATTGTCGATCGTAAACATGAGTAGACGCATTTTCCTGCATGCCGTCGCTCATTTGTTGGCCTTAAAAGTCCCGAATCAAGTGTTAAACCTGTCAAATATTATTCATCGATGATATGGTATTAGAATTTTAAATGTCAACGCCAGTCTCGATAAGCCGCCAAAATAGACTACATTGGGCGGACGGGAAGGAAAAACTAGCGGATAAAATCGTATGAATGGATCAATGAATTTTAAGTGATGACACCAGGATTTTGCGGCAAGGGTAAGCATGTCCTGCACAACCGGAAGCACCCATCACAATTTGCATAAAAAAGTGTGTGTTGCCTGACACCACAAAGCAGTTCTCCTGCCAAAAGAACACAGGCGCAAACGAGTCTTCAGAGAGTGAGTGACTTATTATTTAACCTAAATGGCTGACAAATATATGGAACAGGATTGGAGTATTACATATCACGGTGCCTAGATGTGACTGCAGCACAACAAGCCTCCATGTCTATTCCAGTTTTATGTTTGTGCCTTACAGTCATGTAAACATTGACAAGAAAATTTTGGTATGTAATTATACATCTAGTTTGGTGGCGCTGTGTAAGGACTAATAAATGTCCTATTGTTGTATGTCACGTTGGTGACAAATGTTTTTGACTTTACTATTTTGTTTTTCAGGTGGATTATTCTGAAACCGGGTTGTATTACTATGACGTATCCCAGGACGATATTAACCAGAAGTTGGCCGCGAAAGAGGCAAAGAAACAGACAGAAGGCGCTGAGTAGCTCGCGACAACATGTCGCGACAAATAATCTGACAATAAAGCGTCATAAACAATTCTGAGTAATATTTTATTGCATATGAAATTGATGAGTGAGTGAGTGGGATTTAACGCTGATTTGAACTGTATTCTCGTTATATCACAGCGTGTCAGAAAAACCCAAGTATTACAAGTCTCATATGTTTACCACTTTGCACGTGTATGACTATGGTGCTGACAAACTAAGGAACCTCATCAGTGCGAATCTGGGATCCGAAACCATGTTAATCGGATCCTGGAGCAGCTATAGGACGCAATTCTGCACAGCGAAGGTAGCAATATAAAGGACGCAATTCTGCACAGCGAAGGTAGCAATATTAGATGTGGGCAGTTAGGGACTGACAATTTCATAAAGGGGGGGGGGGGGGGGGGGGGAATTTTATCGAAAAATTAATTTAAGAAAAGTCTTGAAAAAAGTTATTATGCTTCACACTGTCAAAAAAATACTGTTCGCCGCAAAACGTACATTGTTGGTAGTTGTTTTTCTATAAGAAAATATTTAGTCTCAAGACAAAATCGCCTCCGTGGTCTAGTGGTAGAGCGTCCGCCCGGAGAGCGGAAGGTCTGGGGTTCGATCATACCAAAAGACGTTAAAAGATGGCACTTGTTGTTACCCTGTCTGGCGCTCGGCATTAAGGGGCTAAAACAAGGACTGGTCGGCTCGGAGTCAGCATACTGTGTCCTAATGGGGTATTCATGTTATACTGCGGCATGGTATCTCAGTGAGCTAGCACTTTAAATCGGCATCAGTCCGGACATGTACAAGCAGCCACACAAACACACACACGTACATGCACGTCGCTATATAAGTGCAATAATCTTGGACGCGACGTTAAACCCCATTTTACCTCACCTCCATGAAACATAGCACATACACCAATCAGATGGTGAACCGATACCTTTGAAGCTTTACGGATACGTATATTTTGCTTGTTTGGCTTTTGATCTTAGACTCAGTTAGGTGCGTGTTTATTTCTGGACTAGAAACTCAAAATATCGTTAACTATTTCTTTCTGATACATATCAACCAGATTGTGAACTGGTGTCTAATGCTATCAAGACTTTTTAGAATGTACTGCTGTGTGGAGTCAGGCGATACATACTTACTTTTTTGTGCAAATTGTGTGAACGGCTGCTTCCGGTAGGACAGGTCATGCTTACTCTTTTCGCAGAACACCTGGTGTCACCTCTGATTTTCAATGCAATGGCAGTGCGCATCAGAGTGGCAGTACAAAAATGAATGGCAGTACAATTACAATGGCAGTATGAAAGCAATAGTCTAACAAAGCGTCAGTGATTGTGATATTTTTGGTATCCTGGGTAATAAGACTGGGTATCAAGGGCGAAAACAATTATCTTCACAAAACCGCTGATATTGATGCAATGTGAGATGGGATTGGGTTAGCACTAGCCCCACGCATGTAGTTTAAATGCCTTCTAGGAAGATTCCATACCATGCTGGATTTGTGAAGCTGTTCTTGACACCTGACTCAAAAAGCATCTAAAGAAGTAACTTCCACACCACTGCTTACATTAGATAGAACTTCATTCCTGACAACTAACTACTGTTAAAACACAATGTTATGAAATTCTTCTGAATCTTAACAGAAACAATGTGATACAACATTGCGTAACAATACATTACACTGCCATATAACACTCTCCCTCTTCGGAGAAAGACATTTTTAACATAGTGAGAGCTTTCTTTACTAACTAAAGAACAAAAACTACTAAGTGAGGTGACATCCGGTCAAATTGGGTTTAACGTCGCGTTCAAGATTTTTGCGATTACAAGTACAGTAAATTATAGTAAACATGATAAATGATGCTTATGAGAAATTGGAACAAAATTTCATGTTTGCAGTCAAAACTGATCAAATTGTATAATGTATTGTACAACAATGTTGTAACTGTATCACATTGTTGCTGTAAAGATTCAGTAGAAGTTCATAGATGTGTTTTAACAGTGGTTAGTTGTCAGGAATGTGGTACTATCTAATGTAAGCAGTGGTGTGGAAGTTACTATTTTTAAATACTTTTTGAGTCAGGTGTCAAGAACAGACAGACTAATCCAGCATGGAATGGACATTTTCTAATTTTCTAGGCGGTATCTAGACTACATACATTGTACGTGGGGCAAGTGCATCCCTATCTCATCTCACATTACATCAAGACCAGCGGTTGTGTGAAGATCATTGTTTTCGCCCTGGATACCCAGTCGATGCCTATTTTGGAAGCTTCTATTGTTCACTGCCATTGCAATTACTTTGCAGTAATTTGTATGGATTTGTAAACATTGTTAATGTTATAACCCCATTGTTTCATACAAAATTCTCTTAGGCATATATTTCTGGGTTAACTTATTGTTTCAATTTTGAAGTCGACATATAACAATGTCTTACTTCGATCAAAGGCAATGAAATATAAAATAATTAAAAGCTCAAGATAGCAGAAGGGTATTTGAGTTATTTTACGGAAACAAACCTCATCCTTATCTGAAGTGAAGTCCCTCATGTTTCCCTGTCTGTCGTTCCTCATTAAGGAGATAAACTAAGGACTGTTCGGCTCGAAGTCAGAAAACTGTGTCTGAGTGGGATTTTCATTATAAAACTGCAGCTTGTCATTTCTGTGGGTAAGCCCTATAAGACCGGCATCAGTCCGGACCAGTAGACGTACACTACACGCACACGCACACACGCGCACACGCACACACACATTCAAACGTTTATGCACACGTCGCCATATTATATTCCAATTTTCCTGAACTCGACTTTAGGGCCTATTTCACCTCACCTTCACCATGGGAATGTGATATAAATGTGAAACGTCAATGCAAGGGAATAACGAGTCTAGATTATCCGCCAAGATTCCATTTGGCGTAAAGGGCTAAAATAGCCATGAAAATTATATGAATGGACCACTGGAAATCAGTGATGACACCAGGTGTTCGGCAACAATTGTAAGCATGGCCTGCCGTACCTGAAGCACCCGCTTTTAACACAAGTATTTACCATGTGACGCCACACAGCAGTACTCCTGTACATTCTAGACCTCTTGATAGCATACAGCACCAGGTCACTACCTAGGTGATATGTGTCAGAAAGAAATAATGATTGTATATTTACCTTTAAGTGACCGACAATTTGATATTCAGGTGGTGGGGGTTGGATGGGGTCGTAGGTTTTTTTTACTGTCTTGAGACTAGGTATTTTCAGGTACCGCACCAGAACTATTTTTTTTTAAATTACAACTATGAATCTGAACAAAGTTTGAATAAATACACCTTGCATCAATGTCATTTCTTTGTCAGGTTCTTTTTTCAACAGTCTAAAGCATAATTATATTTTCCAAGACTCTTCTTGAACAATTTATTTTTTACCGAGAATATAAAATGGTCTCTAACTGCCCACATCTAATATTGCTACCTTCGCTATGCAGAATTGCCTCCTTTTGCTGCTCCAGGATCTGATGATCATGGATTCGGATCCCAAATTCGCACTGATGAGGATCCTTAGTTTGTCAGCACCAAAGTCATGCTCGTGCAAAGTGGTAAACGTCTGAGACTTGCAATACTTCGGGTTTTTCTGAAACGCCGTGACAGAACTGGAATATTTTCAAAGCGGCGCTAAACTCCACTCACTCACTTACTTACTCACTCACTTACTCACTCGCTCTGTTTATGATCCTCAGTTTGTCAGCACCATGAGATGGGTTTTACTGATTTCATATGCAATAAAATATCACTCAGAAATGTTTCAGACACTTTATTGTTACAAGTCAGAATGTTTGTCGTGACATGTTGTCTCGAGCTACTCAGCGCCTTCTGTCTGTTTCTTTGCCTCTTTCGCGGCCAACTTCTGGTTAATATCGTCCTGGGATACGTCATAGTAATACAACCCGGTTGCAGAATAATCCACCTGAAAACCAAATTGTAAAATCAAAAACTTTTGTCACCTATTCAGCGTCACCAAACTAAATGTATAATTACATGCCAAAGTACTTTCTTGTCAATGTTTACATGACTGTAAGGCACAAACATAAAACTAAAATAGACATGGAGGCTTATTGTGCTGCAGTCACATCTAGACACCGTAATATGTAATACTCCAATCCTGTTCCATGTATTTGTCAGCCATTTAGGTTAAATAATAAGTCACTCACTCTCTGAAGACTCGTTTGCGCCTGTGTTCTTTTGGCAGGAGAACTGCTTTGTGGTGTCAGGCATCAAACACTTACTATTTTATGCAAATTGTGACGGGTTCTTCCGGTTGTGCAGGACATGCTTACCCTTTCCGCGAACGCCTGATGTCATCACTTATTTTCATTGATCCATTCATACAATTTTCTCCGCTATTTTGCCCTTTACACCAGCCCAATGGAGTCTATTTTGTTGGCTTAAAGAGACTGGTTATTCTCTGGAGATGACGTTTTAATTCTAATACCATACCATCGATGCTTAATATTTAACATCTATAACACTCGATACGGGACTTTTCTGACCAACAAATGAACGACGGCATGCAGGAAAATGCGTCAACTCATGATTACGATCGACAATGTCTTCATACAAAACTTACATTGTGAAACTATAGTTTATGACTGTATATATAAAGTGCAGAAATAAGTTACTCACGTATCCATAGTCAACCACAGCACCAACTGCGTACAATCCGTAGTTATCGTAGTTGTATTTGGCGTAGTAATATTCATAATCTCTCTTGTCCTTGTTGTTCTGCTTATCCACGTCGTTTGCAGAGGCGATGATTGATTTAGCGGCGTTCATGACGTTGTCGTCACGATTCCTGTTTGACCTCTTGGCCCTGGTTAGGGTTCTGGCGGAAGCAACGACAACAACGACTGCAAGGATGACGAGGACCTTCATGTTTGGATCTGTGAATATACATGTTGTAGTCAAAGGTATGGAGGCATATTAAATAGTATAAATTTGATTCTCAATTCTCACAATATCATAAACAATATCACATTATTATTAACATATGTTAACAAAAGTTTCAATATCGTCCGGTGCATCAAATCAATGAAAATACACACACACTGTGGTCAAACAGGTAATGGCAAACTGACATTTAGGAGTCGTATTGCAAACTTTCTCACCACAATTATTATTCTAACAATCAATGAAAAATCATCACAATAGTATTTAAATATTTTTGTTTTCGTTAGAGAAAAATATTTCGATCTTGCTTCAAACTTTACTGAGGCCTTGAATCTAACCCTGAAAAGAACTTTTGAGCAAGAGTCGTATAGCATACTTACTTGCAGAGAGCACACCTTGATTTTCCGGTAATTCTACCAAAGTATGGCACCGTTTATATACACTGTGTATACCATGTACCTTATATCAGACTTCTGTGTTAACCAAAGATCGGGATAGATAGACACCTCCATCAGTGGGGGGTATCAGTATCTCGTCTTCTCGGGTTTCTTCAGCTTCATCAACTACTGTATGGAACACGGAAGTATTGCAGGATTAAATATCACGGCGCTAAATATAAGCCCTGGCTGAATTGTGATTGTCACTCATTCACTGTACAGGATCGCCAGCAGCTCATATCAGGTATGTTCTGTGTACATAGGTTATGAATAACGTTGTTTCTTATTACCTTACACTGATTAATCCAGAATCAGTTCTCGTATTGATTTTTAGCGTATTTCAAGTACCAATATTATAGTTTTGAAAATAACTTGGGAGTGTAACACTCGTGTTGATTATAGCCACAACCTGCCAATATCCCAGTTCTATATATCCCGGCCTGTAGATAAGAAACACAATCCAGTGTTTGATATTTTGAGCAACGATCCACACTATCAAACAAATCCCCGACTCTGACCACCCGATACACCAAGTCGCCCCTAACGAGCAGCATGGGTTGATGGAGACCTGGTCTTACCCGGACCTACTCGTGTACTCCCTGGTTACATTCTCCACGAATACCATCCTTTGTCTCAATCATAAGTTACCTACTGAAACAGACAGATGGAGGAAAATACCATTTCGGTACTAAAATAAAATGCCAAATCTGCCAATTGGGTGACAAAGGATTTGAACTAAGCCTAATTTGCTTGAATTTGCTTTTCAATAGGCCAAGCTTGGGAACAAATACAATATTATCTAGGTTGTGTTCAATACATATGATAATGTTAAAACCTGGAAAGAATATTTCATAAATTGTTGTACAAAACTCCAGATTTTGTGTTTTTACCTCATCCTACTGCTCGGTAAAGATGTTTATGAGAGTGTAATAATGTTTCAACGTCCTTACATTTTTGTTTGATCAATACTTGACTTGTATCTCTAAGTGTTAATGTATTTCAGGTCTTTTCAGTTAAACTCTCACTCTTACACTGTTGTCTGCACCATCAGCACTATGCAGTGAAGTGCATATGACGATCTCACTAAGAGCAAATCTGATTTTGTGTCAACGGTGGGGTAGCCTTGTGGTTAAAGCGTTCGCTCGTCACGTTCAAATCCTAACATGGGTACAATGTGTAAAGCCTATTTCTGGTGGATCTCATCGTGACATAACTGGAGTATTGCTAAAACAGTCGTAAAACTATACTCACTCATTTATTTTCTCAAGAATCATATTAAATGATGAGGCGAGAAAAATAGAATAAGAAATGAAACTATGGTTTGTTCAACGACCTGAATTAATGAGTTTTCCATTTACTTATCCGGCACCACTCAGTGTCAGGCGAAGACCCGGGTTCAAATCCTAACATGGGTACAATGTGTAAAGCCCATTTCTGGTGTATCTCGTCGTGACATAACTGGAATTTCATTTCTTCACTACTACACCTAACATGTTAAAACTAAATTTGCTTTTTAATAGCCCAAAATTAGGAACAAACTTTTTTTATCTTGGTTGTATCTTGTACAGTTATTATGATAATGATAATGTTAAAACCTGAAATGAATATTTTAAAGATTATTCTACAAATGTCCAGAATTTCTTTTTTTTCCCTGATCCTACTGATCTGAAAGGATGTTCATGAGATTGCAATAATGTTTTCACGTGCAAACATTTGACTTGTACCTCTAGCGTCGCTGCTAGCCACCTGAGTGTAAACATAGTTCAGGTCTTTTCATCACTCTTAGTCGACTGGGCCACCAGTGTACCCCCAGCCCCACAACAAAACCCGACCCCTCTTTGCAAGAGTCTTTCCAAACGAAATATAGAGCGGTGAATGAATGATGATGTTCACTATATTTCCTCACAGAATGAACGTTACCTGTGTCTTCCTGTTGGCGTTACTCGTGGCCTTGACCTTAGCTACACCTCGTGAGTCGAGGAAGAACGCCAGGAAACAGGACCGACAGTCACAGCAGTCCAAGGCAGCGCCTCAGAAGAGGGATGCTCTAAGCTTCCTCGATTCTGACACGACTTACGGTTCTTCTTCCGTTACTGGTTACGAAGATCATGGTTATGTGAGTATCTGCGAACGAATTCCCATGAAGTGAGTGACTTAAAGTGTAGAAGTTGACATCACATCAGCGGTTTTCAGAAAAGTAATGTTTGGTCGTGAAGAACATATCGTTCACCAACGTTTTTACGATTGTGCTGCCGTTACTGGTTACGAAGGTAGTGGCTATGTGCGATTCTCCGCGTTTAGTAATTAATCACCTCACAAGAACTAATCGATTTAGTTGGACATTTTCTGAAAATCACTAAATATGTTGTCTTTCGAAAGAGACAGAAAGAGCGGGGAGGGGGTAGTTTACACTTTTCAATTTGGCATGGTTAAATGAAGTGGGTAAAGGGCTGAGCTGGTTGCTCATCACGCTGGACTTCGTATTGTACTATTTCATATACCCACTACTTGTTCCACAGTATAACGAGTGGGACTAAAGCATGATGTATGTATGTAAGAAAAATTCGCTCTCCACGGGTCCCCCACGAGACCGGTGGACAACTTATATTATTAACTGCTCGGTTCACATTTAGCTCCTTGTCATAACATCTAGCTGCCTTCACACCATACAACATGTGTATAATGAAGAGTGACATCAGACACCCACCATTTGTTCCACAGAATAACCAGTATGACTACGGGTTGGGATGGCTAGAGTACTACAACAAAGATGAGGAGCAGCAGGAAGCCAAGCAGGAGACGCAGCAGAGACGCCGTCGTCGTAGAAGGGCAGTTCCCGTTGTCAGAAGAGTGCAGTAGACATGGCGCTGTAACACAGCTGTAACGTTATTTAATAAACTTTGGAATCTATTTGCGTTTCTATCATTGCTCGAATATTGCTTAAAACTCACTCATTGTATTTATAAATAAGTGAGTGAGTGAGTTGGGTTTAACGCCGCTTTTAACAGTATTCCAGTTATATCGCGGCCTTTCACCTTAATGTGGGAGGAAAGCCCCAAGTGATGCAGGTCTCAGGCGTTTACCACTTCGGTGAAACCTACGAGCACGGGTATGGTGCTGACAAACCTAGAAACATAATCGGGGCGAACCGGGATTCCAACCCACAATCATAGGTTTCAGACGTGCCCAAGGGACGCAACTCTGCAAAGCGAATCGCGGCGCCTTAGACGACTGGGCCATCCGTGCCCCCGTATTGATATATAAGGTATGATACATTGAATATGTGCGGTAAGGGGGGCAGTAAACTTAAAATAAATTATAACAACGGAAATGACTCTTTTGTTTCTTCTTCTCTTCAACTACCGTTTTCTCTTGAGCCATGTATATTAAATAACTTCATTCAACAAAGGAGAATATGTTTATTTACAGAGGTAGTATCATCATATTACTGTAGAATCGTATGTGTCAAGATGAATTATCCATTGTTTGAGACAAGCGGAACACTGGTATTAGCCCCTGATAATCATAATCGAGGTACCATTTATAAGTAGTAGGGAATGTATCATCACTGATAAAATATAGAAATTGTACATGATACGCGTTAAACATGACAGAACTGAAATGATCGTCAATGACCTTTCTTTCATAATTACTGCAGAAAGGTGCAATTTATTATACATTGTTGTTTCGTTTTATTTGGGGAGAAAGGAAGAAAGATTTAGGAGATATAAAGATTCGATACCTGAAAATCCGGTTCTAAAACTGGTTATGACAAGGCGAGTAGCATGCCCTTGTTGGCACGGTTGGTTGCACATACTTGTATGTGCGCATGAAGCGCCAAGTGAGCCGTGGCACAAATAGTTGGACATGGAAAACTCCCTAAATTGACGATGACACAATGACCATATAAACCTGGATTACAGTGCAAGCTATAAGTGATCTGTCATCGGTTGAGTCCAATATTTTCAGTTGGTTGGATTGTCGAATTCACGGATCCAAAACGATCGCTTGTAACAGCGCATGTTTTCTTTCATATATTCCAACCAGACATGTATCACTTCAAATTGACACAATAAAATCAACTAGAACAGATGCCAAGTAGGTTTTATTCAAATTGTTCATCTTGAAGAAAACCAAGCGACCCTTGCAACGTTTAGGTCTTCAGTACAGTGTGGTGGGGTAGCCTAATGGTTAAAGCGTCAGCTCGTCACGCCAAAGACCCGGGTTCGATTCCCCATATGATCACTATTTGTGGAATGCAAGACGTTTCTGTTATTAAACAACTTGGATGAGATGTTTTAAGCAACAATGATCTTAATTGCAAATTCACTTCTGGTGTCCCCTGTCGTGATATTACTGGAATTATTGCTAAAAGCGGAGTAAACCCATCCTTAATCACGTACTCATTCCTCATGTGGCGCCGCTTCTCGGCCTGGAATGCAGGGAGAGTGAGTGAGTGAGTGAGTATGGTTTTACGCCGCTTTTAGCAATATTCCAGCAATATCACGGCGGGGGACACCAGAAATGGGCTTCACACATTGTACCCATGTCGGGAATCGAACCCGGGTCTTCGGCGTGACGAGCGAACGCTTTAACCACTAGGCTACCCGACCGCCCCGGAATGCAGGGAGAAGGTCGGCCAACTCAGAAAGCGGAATAGTAATTCCGTCTACGGATATTTTCTCGCCTCCGATGACCAATCGGTAAAACAGGAAGGCAAGTTATTTGTTTGTGTTTTTTTAATTTAGGTTTCTTTCCTTAAGGACAATTTAATCCATTTTGTTACATCTAGCAGCTAGACGACATTGAATACCGGAACCAAAGCATGTATTTATCATTGAGTCAGATGAAATGTAAAATGACAAGGCTAAAATGCTAAATTAATCATAATCCTGATAAATGCAGGGATTAAAAGAAAAAAAGAAAAAGAAAAACGAGTAGATTATAAACAGCGATCGAGAATTCGGGGAAACCCCTGAAAGCGGTTCCGGCAAAAGTTCACACGATCAATTTCACAAAAAATGTTAACATCGTGTGAACTTTTCAGTCTATTCACAGGAGTGTGAACTCCCAATATCAGATCACGTGACTACACATTCAGCCAATCAGCATGAAAGAAACAGTGTAAACTTTAAAGTATGAAATTATATGCTTATGATATACTGCTGTCGGAAATATACAATGGACTTAGATTTAGTAGGATTATGGAAATGCTTTTGTTGCTTTTGTTTCCATCTCACACAAGACTGTGACTTCTACAGCAAATTCACTTCCCCAGGAGCCGAGGGAATCGACCTCATTGTGAGGTGACTATGCTTGTCGTAAGAGATGACTTACGGGATCGGGTGGCCAGGCTCACTAACATGGTTGACGCATGTCGTCGTATCCCAATTGTCTAGATCGATGATCATGATGTCAATCAATGGATTGTCTGGTCCAGACTAGATTATTTAAAGACCGCCGTCATATACTGTACAAATATTTCGCGACATTTAAACATTTTCCTTTAAAATTTGTATGAACATACCACATACATCAACAAGCCAGTATACAGATTCAGCACTCATATACAGCAAGGTTCTTAATTTCTTTTCCATTTCTGGTACTCAATTCTTTTTGTAATGTATGATATTAGGAAACTGTGTATATTTACTTGAGATAAATTTGGATCTGGATTCACGGAGAGCTTCACATTTAAACATGTAGTGGAATTCATCGGCTATAGCTGGCGACATAGACAGTTTACGTATACATGTCCTCTGTCTATACAAAGCCAACGGCCAACTTCAACAGGCAGATTATGGTTACAGGTTCTCTGTTTCAGAATAGGATAATAAACTTGTTTAGATAGAAGAAGAAAGGTTTCAAATGACGGGATACCTTTTGAAAATTTATAACAATATCCTTTTTTCGACGTCAGATCGGCAATTTTGATAAAACTGATCTTTTTTTCTATCCGACCCGTTAGCACCTGGCTGGAAACGCTTTATGGGTCATACAATATACATAGGGTAGACCACAGTAAGAAAGTAAATGCCTCACATTTCTTATCCAGGTATTTTGTTCATTATTAGATACAAATTGCAAATGAGCACACTTATAGATGAGTTGCCAACATTAAGGTGCAGTTCCGGGTTTACAAAGTTTATGCCAGAAACTACCCGTTCAGCTGTCGAGAAAGATGATTCTACATAGTTTTCCATAAACCATAAAATATGGGGTTGCATTTCTAAGACCACAGGCTAGTTTAAGTAATTTTAAAAGAATTTTTTTCAATGATGTTCCTATTTTCGTATGCCAAAGTTTCACAGCCATATAATAATATTGGTAATATAATTACATCAAAAGCCTTAAGTAAACAATCCAAAGGAATATTATATTTTCTAGATTTTTTTTAGAAGACATAACATGGCCTTAGATGCACTCTCTGATAAATATTTTATTGTTGACTTTCTGTATCTATACAGATTGTGTGAGTGGCGGGTGCTACCGGTATGGCAGGATATGCTCACCCTTTTCGCGAACATCTGGTATCATCGCAGAATTTGAGAGATCCATTAACACAATTGTCACTGCTGTTTTGCCTTTTACGCCCAATGAAATCTGTTTCTTCGGATAATCGAGACTGGTAGTTCTTTGGTGTTGACGTTTTATATTTCATTGCGGCTCTTATCTCAAAGATGTCGGATAGGAAAATGGCGCTCGAACAAGCAAAAGACTGGTCTGTCATCACTTTTCCTGCTTTCAGACGAGTGGTCCTTTGTCATGATGTGAACTACTTTTTTCTTTCGTGTTTTGGAATATGATTTCTGGCCCCCGCTATTGTCAGATAAAGCAATGCTTACCTCAACACCAAAGCATCAACGAACCACACTCATTCCTAAAGCTAAAAGAGCTGACAACAAATTAGCCTTCAACAGCTCCTTCGATGCGAAATCCATGTAATGAGATACCCAAATCCCCCTTGGCACCAGGATGGCAACGATACTCAGCCAGACGTGAACTAATTTGGTACGCGATCAAAACACGTCTTCGATGTTTGACGCTAACTCAAAGCACTGATGTCCCTCGTGCATGCTCCGTTGCCATCTTACAGATCACACAGAACCAAACTGAAGAAAACACGTTTTGAGACATTTTATTGGTATAGGTAAGAATGTGTGTTAGGAATGACAAATGAAACCCATCTTGTCGCGTGCTACTCGGCGCCTTCTGCCTGTTTCTTTGCCTCTTTCGCGGCCATCTGGTTAATATCGTCCTGGGTTACGTCATAGTAATACAAGCCGGTTGCAGAATAATCCACCTGAAAAACAAAATGCCAAATAATAATTCTCAAATTTTGTCTGAAATTATTGGGCAAAATATAAAGATGTTCTCACATTATGTGTATAAAACATGATAAACATTACAGCTTCTGGTTTTAAATTTGAAAATGTCCCTAAAACAATTTACTTGAGATCATGTACCTACTGTGACTGATGCAAGATGTAAGCAAAGATCATATTTTGGAAATCTACTTTATCACTCTATGTAGTTACGATCCCAATTGCGTTGATCGATGCTCATGATATCAATCACTGGATTGTCTGGTCCATGTGAGTACGGGTTAAACAACCAACTAACACTCTCAGCAAGTTCTCGGGACCAGTATTTCGACTTGATGCGAGAGCTCCTCACCCATAGAGTTAAGCTAGTTATACAACACTGGGAAAAATGTACCTCCTTCGTAAACTTACAATCTTGAACTTGGTGGTTATAGTGATGTCCATAAATTCCTTTCGTAAACAGCATTCAATTTGTGAAATTATGTGTAATTATGTGAAATTGGTACACCAGTACCTGCTGTTTGACAATCAGGTACCGGTTGTGCAGGACATGCTTACCCTTTCCGCAAAAACCTGGTGTCATCACTTAAATTCAGTGATGCATTCATACGATTTTATCCGCTAGTTTTTCCTTCACGCCCGCCCAATAGAGTCGGCTTATTTCGGCGGCTTATCGAGACTGGCGTTGAGGTGTTTAAATTCTAATACCATATCATCGATGCTTAATATTGGACATCTATAACACTTGATACGGGACTTTTCAGACCAACAAATGAGCGACGGCATGCAGGAAAACGCGTCTACTCATGTTTTCGATCGACAATGTCTTCATACATTGTCAAACTATAGTTTATGACTGTATATATAAAGTGCAGAAATAAGTTACTCACGTATCCATAGTCCACCACAGCGCCAACTGCGTACAATCCGTAGTTATCGTAGTTGTATTTGGCGTAGTAATATTCATAATCTCTCTTGTCCTTGTTGTTCTGCTTATCCACGTCGTTTGCAGAGGCGATGATTGATTTAGCGGCGTTCATGACGTTGTTGTCATGATTCCTGTTTGACCTCTTGGCCTTGGTTAGGGTTCTGGCGGAAGCAACGACAACAACGACTGCAAGGATGACGAGGACCTTCATGTTTGGATCTGTGAATATACATCAAATATATATCAAAGGTATGACATTTTTTCTCGTTAAGTAGTTATAAATAAAAAAATATTCCAATAACATTGACTTTAACCTTAAAATATGACCAAAAAAACTTAAATGTACTTTAAAATCCTCCAAATACGATTTATCTTAAGTTATGTTTGCCACTTTGGATTAGTTTAAGAAATATGATTCAACATGTAATGGTATACGTCAACGATAGTCACAGCATATAATTATATAAACTCGAGCTTCACGTTAAACGATATGGAACGTCATTTGTATTTAACTCCCACGAGATATAAGTTGACCCTCATCGGCGGATGGACCGCTCGGGTGACCAAGATGAGCTGTGGCCTGCACCCTTATTGAAGCGAGTTGGGTGTAAGGGGCTTTCAAGAGTACATGTATTAAAAAAATATCACCGCCTGTGAGCCTAATGTGAGAGGAAAGCCCGAAGTGATGAAAGTCTGTGACGTTTACCACTTTGGAGCAACCTTGAGCAGTATGAAAGTTCCGCTTTCAAATCCAAAGGGGGTACAAATCCACCGGAGCAGTCTCCATTATATTAATATAAAATGCCACTATTTTCGCACAAAACCTTAACCAAATAAACAAAATATGCAAATAGGAATGTTTGCATCATTGTTAAAAATGCAGTAATGGTCAAGAGAATGTATGCATTCAATACACCATGAACGAGGGGGAAATATATTTTTAATTTGTAAGATATTTGTACAAAATACATATTGCAAACAAAGACTTTCCTGACCAGGGAACAATGCTATAATATAGTAAATGTAGCAATGAAACTTTACTTACCTGTCCAGTTGATATCTCGACATTCACACAGACTATTTTGATAAATTGCTAAACTATAAAAGCATTTATATTACTATGAGCCTCCAAATATCGGACTTCTGTGTTTACTGTAGATTCCGACTGATAGAAATATCCTGTGACCGTGCAGGTCAATGTAAGGGTATACGTGTCGCGTTTTCTCAGCAACTACTGTATGGAACATGGAAGTATTGCAGGATTAAATATCAAGACTCAGAATATAAGCCCTGGGTGAATTGTGAATGTCATTTCTGTACTGAAGAGGATCCCAAGCAGCTCGAATCAGGTACGCTCTGTGTAAATTAGGAGAAAAAACTATTCTGTTATAAAATATACGGTGGTTCATCGTTGATCAAATACCGTTAAATGTTACATTTTGTGGTATTTAATCAATAATGAACCACCTCAAAATTTAAAAATAGAATGGTTATCTACATTCTACAAAAACTAAATGCGTTTTTAACGGATTCCTTTTCTTGCTCAGTGATGCGGTCAGAAGTTATTATCTCTTATTAACCACTTCAAATTTATTAAAATTAACCAATCAAATTTGATCATCCTTCAATAGAATAAGTAATGTGCACCTTATTTATCTCCATAAACCTTGTCGGTAAGGTAGCCAATGGCTGAAGTGTTCGTTCGGCCCTAGTTCGAATATCCACATGCGTACAACGTGTGTACTCCATTTCTGGTGTCGCCCACCGTGAATATAACGCCAGAGGGTTAGGGGGGACATAGTGGACTTACAGATTTTCATCTTGTTTCATAATTTCCAATTTGACGTTTTGGTACAGTCACAAACTTTAGTATCTGAAAATCCACTAGTCATTCGTAGCTGGATAGTTTACAGGTTCCTAGTTAAGATATCACAGTGGTCTAAGATATCACAGTGGTCTTGTTGAATAGACCCGTGAAGATTCCGGGGTAGAATAGGTCTTCAGCAACCCATGCTTGCCGTAAAAGGTGACTATGCTTGTCGTAAAAGGCGACTAACGGGATCGGGTGGTCAGGCTCGCTGACTTGGTTGATACATGTCATCGATCCCAATTGCGTGGATCGATGCTCATGATATCAATCACTGGATTGTCTGGTCCAGACTCGATTATTTACAGACCGCCGTCATATAGCTGGAATATTGCTGAGTGTGGCGTTAAACAACAAACCAACCAACCAACCAATCTTGTTAAAAAGGTTTCAGAGTGAAAAAGGTTGATGTGTTGTGGTCATGTGTACACAGATCAGGCAAAGAAGCATTGTTTGCGGAGAGTCGTTGGATGGGTGTTCGGCAGCTTGACTCTAGGGAGTTTCTTTGTCTTTGGTCCTGCCCCACATGTAGCTAGCACATGCGGTGTCCTCTTGGGCAAATGAGTTTGTTCAAAATATGTTTCATGGTCACCCAGCAGTAAATGGGTACCCGATAGGATTGAATGGTATTGTGACTGTTAACCTTGTAGAGCCCCACAGGCAGCTTGGGTTGTATACTCTGAAGTGAGAATGAAAATTTGAGTGCACAATGATCCAATGACCGGGGAGAAAATAAAGCAGCGCTTCGAGTATACACCAGCTGTTTGAAGTTATATTCCATCACTCACGCCCTCAAAACCAGCATCAGATTGAGGTTATTCAGTACAGCAAGGTGCATAAACCATTACTTATTACCCCGAGTTATTACAGACTATATTACTCCATATTACAAATATTACTCCATGTCGGTCGCAAGGCTCTTCTTAACTGAAAACTTGACTGGCGCCGCCATTTTGTTTGAAGCAAATGCAAGTAATAAATATTATGATAGGTGGAATCTGATTTGTCAATATAAGGGACATAACTCATTATAGTCACTGGTGGCGCTACGATCTAGCCGCGAAATTCCAGCTAAGTTCGGCAAGGGTGGAAACTGAACTTTTACAGTCAGTTAACTCACTTACCTTGGGAAGATGCCTAGTGGGGATTAACAGATTAATTATAGTAATATTTCGATGAAAAGGTTGGATATATTTCTCCACAGAATGAACGTTACCTTTGTCTTCGTGGTGGCTTGCCTCGTGGCCTTTACCTTGGCTACACCTCGTGACGCGAGGAAGAACGATAGAAAACAGGACCGACAGTCACAACAGTCCAAGGCATCACCTCAGAAGAGGGACGCTTTAACCTTCCTCGATTCTGACACGACTTACGGTTCTTCTTCCGTTACTGGTTACGAAGATCAAGGTTATGTGAGTATTTGAGGTGAACGATTTCAGAGTATTTCGCAGTGCAGGATTCTTGCACCATTATAATGGCGTCACGCTATAGTTCTTGCAGTTGATTCAGAGCCAGGTATTCACCGGCCATTCTGAACGTGTATAAACAAGTAAAGCTGCCTAACTACAGGTCATAAATAATAGATAATAATGTTTTAACCATATCATTGTTTATGAGGCCAGAGAAATCACTCGAATCTATTGATTCTGGAAGTGGGATCAACTCGCCACTTCTCTTTGGGCTCTTTGATTCCTCTTACGGAATCAACAGATTCTCTTTATTTGTCCATTATAGTGAGTGAGTGAGTCGGGTTTAACGCCGCTTTTAACAGTATTCCAGTTATATCGCGGCGTGTCAGCTTAATGTGGGAGGAAAGCCCGAAGTGATGCAGGTCTAAGACGTTTACCACTTCGGTGAAACCCACGAGCATGTCCATTATAGAATAGATCCCAAGAAACATACAGTCGTCTTAACTGTTCGGGGTGTTAGTCTCGGTGACCTGGTTGATTGCGTTTTATTGTACCCCGGTGCATGGATAGTTGCTCATAATATCAATCATTGGATGTCTGATGTTACTGGTCCAGAGTCATTTAGCTGAAATATTGCTGAGTACGACATTAAGGCGTCGAAGTATATCCATTTAGACTGCTGCGATGGCATAAATTGCTGTGGAGTTGATATTAATGTCATTAATGAAAATGCAGATGACCAAAAGGTTAAAAGGGCTAATTATAAGTATATGTAATTCTACATTTAATGAGCACCAAACTGAACAGAAAAACATGTGTATCATATGGATAGGGTCTAGGCATTTCAGTTAAACTGATCTTCCTATGATATACGCGTACCATGACGTCTGAATCACGCCATCTTCTCTGGACCCGTGAAGACCCGGGGTCGAATAGGTCTTCAGCAACCCATGCTTGCCGTAAAAGGCGACTATGCTTGTCGTAAGTCGGGTGGTCAGGCTCGCTGACTTGGTTGATGCATGTCATCGATCCCAATTGCGTGGATCGATGTTCATGATATCAATCACTGGATTGTCTGGTCCAGACTCGATTATTTACATACCGCCGTCATTTATCTGAAATATTGCTGAGTGCGGCGTTAAACAACAAACCAACCAACCAACCATCTGTGCAAGACAAGTTAAGACTGTCAGCTTTGCCCAGCGCTCCGTTTCCCTTGCTGCTGTAACTGAATGGAACAGTTTCCCACTCGAACTTCGAGTTTCCCCGACTTTCCAGATCTTTAAGGCACGATTTAATACTCACCTTTTCTTGTGCGCTTCGAGTATACATTGCGTAAGGAGTTGTGGGCTTTACAATTAATTAAGGCCATTATCTTAAATGTCGGATTCTGATTGGCCGGTTCTATTATTTTTAATGAACCCTGCTTACACGTAAGGTACATTTGTTATGTTCCCCGCTCGAATTTCCAAACTGTTGGCGTTACATTTGCAACATACCAATTGCAATTTTGTATCTCGAATGAATCATGTGAGAAGCCATTCTCCGGATATTTACGATATTTTCCGTATGAAATAGATCCAGGGGGAGTAACTCTTAGTATGTTTTCTGTCTGCTATTTTTGGACGGATTTGAAACAATGTACAAAACGAATAAATTCCTAACTCGTATTTTCACCTGATTCGGACTCTTGCATGAAAGTAGATAAGATAAATTCGTTGTCTATTAGTTTCCCTCGGTGGACAACTTATATTATTAACTGCTAGGTTCACATTTAGCTCCTTGTCATAACATCTAGCTGCCTTCACACCATACATGTGTATCATGAAGAGTGACATCAGAAACCCACCATTTGTTCCACAGTATAACCAGTATGACTACGGGTTGGGATGGCTTGAGTACTACAACAAAGATGAGGAGCAACAGGAAGCCAAGCAGGAGACGCAGCAGAGACGCCGTCGTCGTAGAAGGGCAGTTCCCGTTGTCAGACGAGTACAGTAGACATGGAGCTGTAACACAACTGTAATGTTCTGCAATAAAATTATCTTAGTCAACGAAAAATTGATTATTTGTTGATTATTTGTTCTTCCTACATCCAGTATACATGATGTGACCGGGATTGTGTAGGTATCAAAGAAGACCAGACACTAGCTACGGAGTGAGTCTTTATTCCTTTGTCTTGTAAATAGACTCCATTAAACACTTGTATAGGGAATATGTAATAGTTTAGATTAAACATACACACATGTATTAATAAATACAACTACTTTATAAAATGCCATTTCAATTACACATGGAGTAATTCTAGTATTAAACCTTAGTAGAAAACTTACATAAATGATACTGTACAGAAACAATGACATTGTCAGTAACACATTTTGATTGAGGCAACCATCGAACAACGATAACTCCTTGATGATATATACACAAGGCATATAGTGAGTGAGTGAGTGAGTATGGATTAATGGCGCTTCACACATTGTACCCATGTCGGGAATCGAACCCGGGTCTTCACCGTGACGCACAAGGCAAATACTTCATACTAACGCACATGTTGTGAGGAACGTTATAGCACATTGCATGATATAGTTGAGACCTAGAATGAATGAATGAATGAATGAATGAATGAATGAATGAATGAATGAATGAATGAATGAATGAATGAAGTTACATCCGAAGATTTACAAAATCTCTGAACATCGCAGAACATTGTGCTGGTATTTATATAGATTGGTGTATTGTCAACACATAAAATACACACACACACACACACACACACACACACACACACACACACACACACACACATATATACATATATATATATATATATATATTCGTCATTAACTATGTACACAAGTGAACACTATTACATTGGGGAACAACATATTGCATTGGGGTTAATCGAATACATTTCCGAAATTTAAGACATATTTACAGAATATTAATGATATGTTTTCCCATGTACCCTGGTTCATAATTCACGATTGTAAGTGGCATTTTATACTATTGAACTGCATGACGATACTGCCAGATACGATGCCAGATCATACCCGTAATAGACGTGACTAAGATCTAAAAATAACTGTAGGCTAACGCTTAAAGATTATCTGTACAAATAACTTGGCTTTAACTGAACAAAGTCGGGCTGAATATTATTTCAAATCTTAAAGGAAATAAACACGCCAATACAAATGCTTACTTGTCTTTACCAAGCCAGCGTGCCTACTATTTCATATTTTACATGAAATATACACGCCAATACAAATGCCTACTTGTCTTTACCAAGCCAGTGTGCCTACTATTTCATATTTTATATGAAGTATACATGCCAATACAATTACATACCTTCATGAAAACCAGTATACATTTATTATGACATATACATGATACTAAAATTTAACTAAATGAGTCTTTAAGCCAAAAAAGATCGAAAGAAAATTGAATTTATGAACGTATTAGAAAATCAGAATGAAGCCTGCCTTACTTAATTAGAATTTAGAATTTATTTTCTTAGGTTGTTTTGGGTTTTTTTTAAACCATGCCTTCATCTCAACTTGAACTGAACGGTAATTGTGACTGTCAATATATCCTAAATCTCAGGCTTACTGAATCTCACATAATTAACCACCCCAAAACGAACCCCCAATACATAACATAAACAGAAGGACGAGCATTTTACCGACAATTTTGTGGTCGCCAGACACGACCACGCCTATCAAGTGCAAGCTGAAAACTCATCTGAAAACATGACACGTGACCAGCGATGGACTAAGGGGCGGAACAACACGTGGTCGTCGAGCATGGAGATAAGCTGCATGAAGACGATTCCTCGTCATCTGACCCGTAACTCGCCTGATGAAGGTTTGCAACAATGTGATTGGCATGTAACTCGATTTCGTAGAGATGGTTTCGGATCAATCGATCCTGTAGACTTGTCGTTGACCTGGGACACCCTGAATGGGATCGATCGTCATTTTACGGTTTGTTGGTACCTGTTCCATAGTCTGCTAATCACAGACCGAGAAGTATTGAACGTTTCAGCCACTGCACCCTGACTTCAGAAAGCTTGCCAATAACCCGAAGATGATCCGCGCGTTGCAGACGCTGTTCATACACAAACTATGAATTAAATCAAGTAGATCACAACTGTTTGAAAAGAAGAATCAATGAGAGAGACAGTAATAATGGTCCACAGAGATTAGTCGACCTACCTTGCAAGTGTCAAAATTAGGAATGACACCCAACGCACGTGTTTGGCGCTACTCAATTATAGGATGTGTTTTGGTGTTAGGTGTCTTACCGACATAAACGCTCTTGCATAGGCTATTTGTCGTCAACACTTATCCATGTTATAATACTTGGAATTATCATTTATATGTTATGACCCCCTTCTTCTTTTAAGAGTAATGTAAAGAAATCCAAAACATTATTTACAGTTGTACAACTGGATCAATGCCACTTTGACTACAGTGTCATGTCCACTTCAGCAGATAAGTCTTGTATTGTTTCTGGGTTGATTTCTCCCAGGATTTCATGATGGCAGCTTGAGCCCATGAGGAAACTCTTCTGCTTTCCGGGGGGACTGGTGGCACAGTTGCGCTTATCATGATATCACTTTTCAAATGACACCTATATTTGTCTTGTAACCCTGATTGAGATTTGCTCCTGGTTTTCTTAGCTTTATGTTTTGTCACGGATAACATGCAAAGACCGTCAGGTAAACACGTGTACTGAAACAATTTTCCATTCTCCATAAACCTCAGATACTTTTTATGGCAAAGAATAGTAAGCATCTTTCAGGTCAACTGAAACAATCTGGCTCGAGATTTTCCATTTTGAAATGATGATATACCACTTGTGTCAGCCAAATGTGGGAAGAAAGCCCAAAGCGATGCAGGTCTCAGACGTTTACCACATTGGTGAAACACATTGGCAAATCTCAATCAGGGTTACAAGACAAATATACATGTACATACTCTAACAGGGGAGACAATAATTTTACGCTGCTCCAACCATCTTTGAGAGTGTAGTCACTAACAATCTAATATATCAAATTTACTCATACCATTTTTAGAATATGATAATATATTTATTAATTACAAAATTTGATCTTCAAAATTGATTTCTGACAAAGATATTTCTTTAAATAATATATGATTAAATAACAACTTACACTATTAAAAATATATTTAAGACATGAAGCTTTAAAATGTTTATCCCTTGGGATGAAGAAATATACGGGAGTAGATGATACCCCTTGAGTATTCATAATCGTATCTCTGTTGATACATTCGCCGCGAATAGCTGCAAAATTGCTGATGCGGCGTTAAGCTCACTCACTCTGTTGTTACATAAAAGGAAAAAAAAAAAAGTCCTTATTTATTTAATCACAGATAAGTGCACTTCATTGCAGTCATGTTCAAGAATTGATTTCAGAATGAGTGGGTGAATTTGATTTCACGGCTCTTGGGGAAAGTATTTTAGCAATATCAAGACTTTTAGGCTTTGTGTGTCAGAAAACCCAAAGAAATGCAGGTCCAAGACATTTAACGTCCCGGTTAAACCCATATGCACGGCAGAGAAACTAAACAAAGCTGGATTCGAACACACGATCATAAGATTCTAGCGTGACTGTTGGTCGCAACTTTGCTCAACAAATCCCGACGAGTTAGACAGGGCAGTCCCATGCTCTCATGATCTGTCATTTAAGGGAAGGGTGAAACGTATATATACATCAGGGATTATTCTTTTCCATTAGGGCTGATTAATGTACTAAAATAAAACAGAAATAATGAGTGCTTTATCAACAATTCATTGATAATTTAAGATTAGATAGAATCATGAATAATCAGCCACAGCAAGGGATCGTCACGTGCGTGCCTTGATAAGCCGATGCCGCGCAGCCATTGAAAACCGATTTGTCACAAGTTTGATGATTTCCCTTCTGCTTATATTTCAGATCTGAAAGATTTAAGTTAGAGTATAATCGTATTCGGCGCATATAATCTAAGAGATCTTTACCATGTACTTTTCGATAAGATCTGTAACTGTGACTTAACGTTCCTGAGGACACAACCCGATCTACTCTTAACATATGTGCAATTTGTTTAATTGTTTTCTTATATATGTACATATTCGAAATGCATATACACGTTTGTCACAATGCTAGTGTAGTATAAAGAATAAATCCCCACAAGGGTAGCGAAACAATACTTCAATCTGTCATGATACGGATGACGTTTGGCAAATATAAAGCTACCACTACCCGTCTCGTATTTACACGACGAGAACAATAAATCACGACCAGGGCCCACTTGCACAAAGCGATCTTAGCGCTAAGATGATCGTAACTCCCATACTTCAGCATAGGCTTACAACAGTCTTAGCGCTAAGATTGCTTTGTGCAAGTGGGCCCAGGAGTCAGAGGGGAATGTAATTCTATGTGACTGGGTTGTCGGGTGTATCCAGACTAAATTATAAAGGCGATATCCATGGCCTCTGTGTACACATGTGACAGGGAAAAAGCTATTGAGACACACTACAGTTATAAATAACCTTACACACTCAACAACCTTGAAGTGCGTTCATTCCCGCAGTAGGGTGTATTCGTGTCATATCAGTGTTACTGGTGTCCGCCGACGTTGTGCACACACTGACTGGGGACGGGTATTTAACATTAAACTTTTCACAACTGTTGTCAAATATCGGCAACAAAATGTTCGAAGGATTGACATATCTTTTTGGATATGTTGTTTTCAACAACGTTTGCCATTTAAGACAGTGTTTCTCAGTGGTTATACTGTCAGAACATTATCGGAATGGCCGTTCATTGTTAATGAATCACACTGAACCTTCTATCTGTACTTCCATGTGTACTAGCATCTCTTTCGGTACCACTTGTTTATTTGTCTAATGAAAACCACCGGACTGTTGGTTGGTTGGTTGGTTTGTTGTTTAACGCCGCACTCAGCAATAATACAGCTATTTGACGGCGGTCTGTAAATAATTGAGTCTGGAACAGACAACCCAGTGACTAATATCATGAGCATCGA